GCTTAAAATTTGAAAGACAGAATTCACCACTTCCTCATAGGTTAGTCAACTTCCATTTTAGTAGAGTCTCACATTCTGAAATCCAGACATATTCCTATATTGAACAACTGAATGGATAAATGAAGTGTGAAAAGGCAACAAAAGGAAAACGCTACAGTTTAAAAATATCTTAATATTCACTTTGATATCCCTCAGAAGAAAGTTCTCCACCACATTAGTGTCTTTCTGCGTCCTGCTCTACTTAACGCTTGTTCCTCTGAAAGCAGAACTAATACACACAAAATGACACTGTTAGACTCTGTCCGAGAAGGTACATGAAATGAAGTGAGTCGATTCAATTTGCTTGAAGGAACTTTACAGAAAAAAGTGGCTAAATCTAGTTTTGCTTTATCCCACAACCTCGAACAAGTGCTGTTTCTTTGTTCCTCCAAAGAGCATTTAAAGGACACATAGCATACTGTGACATCTTGCATTGAAAAACTCTTTCTTAACCAGTCGACTGAATCTGTCCTTTTCATGGGAAATGTCTTGAAGCATCAGCCACCAGAAAAACAATACAATCAATAGGATAGAATTTCTACCAAAGTGGCTGCTGAACTCTATTCACATCTCATTCATATAAATGATTTCACCTTCTCAGGTTTATTTTTGTAGCTGTTAATTGAGATTGCAAAATCACCATGTTAGTGGAACTCTTGAATGTATTTTCATCACAACACTTTCTCCTTGTAAACCTTAGAATACAGACCAAATGGAGGATCCTACTGAGTTGTGTAAAAGAGCGCCATGGCTGCAACAATCATTCTTAGCAGAAAGCAATTACTTCATTATTACATGATATATGTTTGAGTCAATTCAGCTATATTACATAAAATGGTGTTAACACTGGAGGGGCGGCAGGGAGTATCTGCAGTCTGGATTTAGAAGATTGTTGTTGAATAATCCTGGTTAAATGGTTGGGGGAAAAAACAATAGCAAAAGCATGAATAGGAAAATGTACAAAGTATTTTGGTTCGACACATTTTAGGAACTTTCTAGGCTACTCCAAGAAATGGCATCACAATAAGCAAAAGCAACAATGTGGGCCCTTTATTTTATTCAACTTACTTTCGGTGTGTCAAGATTTTTTTTTTTTACCTACGTTAAGAATAGTTTTAGATATTTATGTTTTAATTTAAGTATCAGAATTAAGGCAACATTTAGACACCTTATGAATCCTTACGGTTGGTTGACTTGCATTTTTTTTAAGAATAGGTTGCAAATACTCTAGTGCTATTAAGTATTTCAGGAGATTTCAAGAACTGACATCACACTAAGCAAAAGCACCAATACAGTCGGACTCATTTCAATACTATGTTCAAACGGTTAACCACCATCTACTTATATAAATTCTTTCATTTCTAATTCTAATGATAGGTTTTTGTTTTCTAATTAGTCCTCATATATCATATTATTTATAAAGAAATGTCCCTGTCTGTTGTTTCACTGCTGATGAGTTCAGGTTCACAGGCAGTCTACAAGCCCTCAGCCACAACCCAGTGTGACAGATGATGTGTAACCTTAGATCCCCTGGATCTTAATACTGTTGGCTGCCTTGCTCCTTGACCCACTTTTAATGATTATTCTGCCTGAGGCGAGTGGATTAGTTTCTGTCTATAGAGTCTTGGAGAAAGAAAGAGGGAAATGACCTATTGTATAACACTGCTATAGCTGACTCTTCTGTGAAATTAGGGAATCATAAAACTGTATTAATTCACTGTAAAATGATTTTTTTATGGGAAATTCAAGCTGTCAAGATAAGAAATGGGAACTGAGTACTAAATGAACTTTGGACACCGTGACCAGAGCTGACGAGAAAACCCTTGTGTGAGTGGATTAGTGTGTTGTGTAATCCTCCTATTTATAGATGGTTTCCCTGTGTTGACAAATACAATTACAGAAGGTAATGCAGGAGCACTATTTCTAGGCACCTGGTGAGCGTAATTCAAAACTTTGTTGAATGCTCTTTCAAAATATATGACTTGCTAGATGTGAAATGCTTCAACAAGTTTGCCAGCTGGTCTATAAATTTAATTGTCTGTCTTATAGTGGACGGCTGACAACAGCTGCCTTTCTTAATCTTCTGACAACAGAATGGTGCTGTTGTGACAGCACCTGCATAATTTGATAAGGTATATGGCCTTGAACCACTTGGAGTTGTAGTAAAATTATATTTTTTCTGCTGATACTAAGAAAACAGTCTTGTCAGTTTGGCGGCCCCCTTGAAGTCAATGAAGTGATTCACTCAACTCAATTCAACTTGCATTTTGTCAGTCAGATGTCTGCACTTTCATTGATTGGATATGTAACTTTGCACATATAAATGTTTCAAAACGGTCCTTAATGCTGAGGTCAGATTATTTTTTAGTTTGTTAAAATGGCCACTGTGTCAGATTAGGGGTTCCCAGAGCCATATATTAGTGCTGGACTGGACCAGTAGATATGACTACACCGGACCATCACGACCAACGTGATGACATTTGAAGGATTAGGGACTGGGTTAGACAACACCGGTACAGGAGACTGTAATCAAGCCAAAAAAAAACCGTTTGTTGAGACTTTTCCTGTCTCATAGTTCCATCTGGTAGCACCAACTTCATCATTCTGCTTTCACTTGGCCATTTTGGGCATATGGCGCACTATGTGCTTTCATTGGTCAACATCAATGATGTGACAGAACACAACGTAGAAGGCAGAAAAAAAATCAAACATGCTCGACTTTCTGTCGGGTGGTGGTAAACCGAACCAGATGTGGTCTTGATTGTCATTCACTATGAAACACTACAAGGGATAAAAATAAAAAATTATCTTTTTATGGCTGATGGGTCCCGAAACACTAGGTCTGCTGAATCAGGCTGTAGTAATGCTTATAATGTGTAGTCTGACCTTGGCATTAGGGTTCATTGTGGTTGAGTTTGTGTTCACTCCAAATATGTAATTGTTGTAAGTGTTCTGTGCAGCACTATTTTTGTAAAAGGAAATAAAAGTCAAACTATTGTATGACACAGCCAAATCGAATTTGATAGACAAAATCCAGACTCAGAGACAGCCCTACTCATCAGCCATGTTTGGAAAAAGAGGTTATTGCAGTTGTACCCATTAATTCTTAGAGTAGCATGAAATTAAGCAGAAACATCTTATCATAAGCCTGATTTTGTGATTTTGGCTTCTAAACAAAAATGGGCAGAAATAGCAAGATAACTTCAGGAAATAGCCAATTTCCCAGGGATCAGTGGTGTATGAGATGCCTTGATTCATTGCCCAAAACCATCTTGTCAAATGTCACCTCATGTCGTGATTTCCACTTACAACATGAGGCAACAGCAGCAAAGTCTATTTACCATCACGATCAACACTATCCCATTACCTTCTAGGTCTGGCTGCTTGCAGTCAATCGTGTATTAATGCAGGGTTCACAAGTTCACAAGAACATAAGTTCAATCGTGGCCAGAGGGTCTTGGCCCTGGGGAAAAGCAAGATTTACAATAAACACTGGTGTAACTGGGAGAACATATTAAATCAGGCTCCAGGTTGTGATGTGGTTTCAGAAGGTAAGATGGCGAATTAGCCCTGAGGCAAAGAAACACACAAATCCAATATTAACAAACAGACATCTTAAGACTCCACACAGATACAAAGGCACACAAACAGAGCAAAATGTGTGCAGGACATGGAGCTATTACACTCAGTAAATCACCTGGCACCCAGCAACACAGGAAGCAAATACTCTTTTTGGTTTTGTTACTGTTACAATTTACCTGTGCACAGTTTCTCTGCAGCGGGCAGAGGTGCACTCATATTTCACTAAGTTAGCATTGTGAAAGTTCATGGCTATGTTTGCCGTGTTATTGTGGTAATAAATGAGATTGAGTGGGTGCCTCAGAAAGTTGCATTCTGTCCTGATCCAAGGTTGCATAGTCATTCTCAATATAATGAGAAGTGAGGAAAGGCTATAACCTTGAAAATGAGGGACCAGGAGAAACAAAGATGAAAGAAGCACACTTTTATGGCATTGGTCTTTGAAGGGATGTGTGATGCATTGCTTTGAGTATTCCATAACTTAAAGATGTTTATATGGAAAAAAATATTGAGACAGTGACAGCTCATGTTGACAACTCGAACAGTTTTATATTCACTGGCTTCACAGTGATTTCTTCTTTGATGTTGTCTAGAATCATGCCTTTTATAGCTTTTGTACTGTGATTATTATGAAACAACACATTTATATGTAATTTATGTCAGTAGTTTCTCTGCAACAGAAACTGTCTAAAAAAAAGTCAGTCTAAGAAATACACCCTTGGAAGAAGTTGATTTATCGTAAAGTGCATGTTTTGAGAACAATTTAAAAAAAAGGACTAAAAAACAAACATCCTAAAAACAGCCTCATCGGAGAATACTATGCATCAGTTCAATCTTAGATTGAAAATACATATTTCATGACTGTACATGTTTTGTTTTATATGAACAAAATTGGGTCCCACAAGGGTCCATACTGGGTCCTATATTATTTGCAATATGTACCAAATAACCTTTTTTGAATTTCTGAATGGATACATAAGGTTTTTTGAACTGAAATTAATTTGATTAAACAAATGTTGCAATGTTGCTTATACAAAAAGTTATTATGCAGATGATATCACTATGCATACTTAAAATGTATTCATAAAACTCTCACTAGCTGAACCTTCCGTCATGTTGACACTTAATGTATATAATTCCTTGAACCCATTCTGGCTAATCTCCCTCATCTAGTATCAGCTACTGAGTCAACAGAATGCATGCTTACTTGACAAATAAATGCAAGTATTGTGCTACTGAACACTGCTTACTTAGTCATTTCTGTTTGTGTAAGTCTGCTCTTCACAATAGGAAATATTCCTAGTAAAATAAATGTGTGTTAAGAGAACTGTTTGATGCTATTTTAGCTTGAATTGTTTTGTTCATTTATTCCGCCAATGCAGGAATCATCAGGACTGCCTTAGCTAACATGGACCGGGAAGCCAGGGAACACTACACCGTTGTTATCCAAGCCAAAGACATGGCAGGCCAGGTCGGAGGCCTCTCTGGCTCCACCACCATCAACATCACGCTGTCAGACATCAACGACAACCCGCCCAAGTTTCCACAAAGTATGTATACAACTTGATCCTATAAATACAGTCCAGACAACACAACACAAGCTTAAGTTCTCTTAAAATAGATACTTGTTCATGTTTGGTGCAACTCAATTAACCTACATTGCATTACAGCGTCGCCTCCATCGGAAAACTCTCAACACTGATACATTGTTGTCTTCATGTGTGTCAGTTAGTTAGCTAATCAAAAGGCTAATTCTGCAAATTGGTAATGTTTCCGATGTTAATACTTTACTACTACTACTACCCTAATTTCATAAGCTCAGTATTCTTCATGATCATGTTTAATATACAGTATTACTCAGTAGTCAAATACTGCAGACACATATTTTGGGGCCGTTTTGCCTTTATTGGATAGGACAGCTGGAGAGAGACAGGAAATGTTGGGAGGAGAGAGTGGGAGATGACATACAGCAAAGGGCAGAGGCTGGATTCGAACCCACAGCCGCTGCGACAAATACTACAGCCTCTGTACATGGGGCACGCAAAATAACCGCTAGGCTACTGGCGCTCCCATTTTCTCCATTTTAATGATATACTTAAGTCATGACAAAGTTGTGATTATCTCTCAAAAAGTTCCCAATGACACAAATTGGATGCTAGTATTTTATTTTGTGCTGCAGGGACAAACTCTTTCAAAACCATCAAGCTTTTCTCAATAATCATCTGCCTCAGTGCATTGCTATCAACCTCAGTTTAACATTTAATGTCAGCTGAAGCACTGCAGAGTATTTTTAATGACATTCCCTCAGGAACAATTGGTGGGAGAATCAAACTGCTTAGTCAAGCCCTTTTTTTTTAGTAGGGCATTCAGACAATGATGAGGGGCAGATCAGCTTCTGTTTAAAACATGTGTTTAGCTGTTTCTTAACGGGCACACGTCAAATCTTATCCACAGAAAACTACCAGCTGTACGTCCCTGAATCAGCTCAAGTAGGGAAACCGGTAGGGAAGATCAAAGCCAACGATGAGGACCTGGGCGTCAATGCAGACATCAAGTACAGCATCATTAACTCTGAGGGGGCCAACATGTTCTCCATCTCCACGGAGAGGGACACGAGAGAGGGAATCATCAGCCTCAAAAAGGTAAAAGCAAGCTGTCTTCAAGCAAGAAATGTGATTTATCAGGGAATCATCGCAAAAATATATGAGGAAAAGGCTGTGTTTGTCAGCCTTTTGACTTAATGGGTCACTTTTAACAAGCATTGCTGTAAAGTAGCATTTTGATGAGCAGGTTGTATTCAATATTTTAAAGGCCTACGTGGACACTGATGCATATACAATGCAAAATTGGTTTCTGTAGGGAGTTGTAACAGATGGTGGAAGTAATAATACACTTTAATGGGAAGCAATTCACCAATAAAAGAGGAGTAGAAGAAGAACACTTTGATTTACAAAGTAACAAACACTTTAAAGGTATAGCATGTGACTTTCAGAGTAAAGATGTCCTGTTGATGTTGCACTTCAGCACCAGTCTTTGACACGGATGCAAACATGCATCAATACATTTAGATTTTTGTCAGTTTCCCCTCACTTAGGAGCACATTTTGGTTGTTTTCTGGAGATCTGGGTTTATTTATCTCGTTATCTTGGGATTTGCTTTCCTTGTAGACTCTTAAGATGGCTTGCACTTCATGTTTCTAGCCCACACAACTTCACACTATCGGGCTTGCTAATCTCTTTTTTTCCTTTGGTGCCTTTTGCGGACAGCCTCTGAACTACGAGAGAAAGAAGACCTACACCCTCCACATTGAAGGGGTGAATACACACGTGGATCCTCGTTTTTCCTACCTTGGTTCTTTCAAAGACACTGCCACCCTTAAAATCACAGTCGGGGACGTGGACGAAGCACCTGTCTTTTCTGTTGAACATTACAATCTGGATGTATATGAGAACGCACAGAGTGGCACAGAGGTTGGTGCCGTATTGGCTCGAGATCCGGACGGCAGGAACAGTCCTGTCAGGTAAGACCCACAAACATTCTGCTATTATTATTACAGATATGTTATGCATTATTACTTTATATTCAAGAGATACACTTGTGTGTCATTATTCATCAGACAAGCACACTGCAGAAGTGAACGGTTGAAGAGGAGGTTGCTAATATTCTGAGGATTATTTTGAGGCTTAATGCTTCTTCAGATCTGAACGACAGCCAATGCAACTCTGTCACTTTGTCAACTAATTGGTTGCCAAAAATGCAAGCCATGGAAACTTTTTTTTTAATTAGAAACAGAAACTAGTCCTGCTGAAGACATTTCTCAGCCTAACTTGAAAAAAAATTGAGCTTAATTGGTAAAGCATACGTTTGCAATGCAAGAATTTGGGGTTGTGAGGAAATCAATTTGTTATTCTGGCCACTGCGTTTTTAAGAGTTACTTTAATTTTATTCCTTTGATCCTGTTTTGTGTTTTGGCATTTAAATTTTACCAGAAAAAACCTCTCTGAGGTGCTTCAGTTTAGCTCAGTGACGTTTAAGTCGACTAACACGATTATTTCTGCCCTCAAGAAATGTTTGCCTAACTAAAAACTCTAATTTGCAAGTCATTTCTTTGCCCCGAATGATTTCACCTTTTAAAGATAGATACTTAAGTTTCAACATTGCAGAGAAAATGAGAAAATTTTGACATCTGCAGTGGTTTTTCATGGAGATCTGAGGTTCTCTCTGGACATAGGAACAGATAGCATACTGTGAAATAGAATACAAGGTATGCTGCAATATATTGAAGAGCCTCTTGTTTGTACCTGATACTGCGAATGCCGTTAATGTTTCACATCCCGAGCAATATGCATAATGAATCACACATTTTGGCATCATTAGATTGATGGTTTTTTCGGTTGCAAAACCTGTGAAAGTAACCCGCGGCAATGCAACTGCTTAGCCCATTTGTATGCGCTCTAAACACATGCTTGTGTACTGTCGAAAGAAGATTGATATCACCCTCAGGCTGTGGACTAATCCCAGGTTTTCACTCTGCACAGGTGCCTGCTTTCAAAACATTGCACTCAAGCACCTCCGCACTGCTTCTTTTAATTTGAATTCCCTATGTAGCCTTGGCATAAATGATGAAGGACCTGTAAACATGATACTCCCCATGAGATGACGCATTGCTGATATATCAATAAGAACCAATGTTCTGTTGCTGTTACGACAGAGGGTCATAGTTTCAAGCTTCGCTATAGACCTCAGAGCCCAAGGTTTTTTTTTAACAGCATTAAGCAGTGACTTGTCACCATGCTGCTGTCCTCGCCATTTTTGGGTGGTCATCCTATCGTTTTTTTTTTTTTTTTTCTTGTGGATTATGAACAGCTTGAAATGGAAGGAAGACACAGGGTAAAAATGAGTCTTTGATTCGTGCCAGAGTCTTAAGACTTTGCGAAAGATTTGTAGTAAACAAGAAGGAAATCTACATATGAAAGACTTGCCTTGCTCTCCTTGTGGGATACCTCCTTCTTGTCCATTCCTACCGCACATCACTCCCAATGTTGAGCACATTGAGAAGAAGCAGCGGGAAGCATTTTGATGACATCCACTTGAACCCAGAAAAAAAGCTAAACATACCATAGCACTGCTCCCTGGGTTTGCATCAGAATGCAGAATGCATCAGGGATCAGTATTTGGCTCTCTTTGATCATCACAAGTCTGCCCATGCGTGCAGTGAAATAAACATGTCATTGAAGTGACATATCAAATGTTGGTTTGAAATTGACATCTAAATAGTCTCACACAGTCTTGATGGCTCATTACCTCTGGTTGCTCTTATGCATTATCATAATCATCAAGAGCAGTTATGCAAACTTCTTAGCCTGATTACTTTAAAGCACTGCAGGGATTCAAGTCGGACCCATCTTCAACAAATTTCTGTTCTCTTCAAGTGTAAAAAGCTGTGATTTAAAAAATAATAATAACAAGGACATTGAAAACTGGCCATGATGTGTCACCAAGAGAGACACTACAAATCAAGTAAAATATCTATTTAAAGAAGACCGTGTTATCAACAAGCAGCAACCTCTGGTGTTGAGTGAAAAATCCTGCAGTTCCTCAAGTGTCCACTTGAGGCTATCTCCAGCAAGCCTTTGAAGTAATTTACACACCCATTCAAAAATCCCAGTTTTTACAGCAGAAATAAACATGTTTACAGCTCTGGATCAAAAAACTAAATTGGAATGGATAGCTAATTTCTACGGCAGTGTATTGCATTCATATGGGGAAGAAAATTCTGCCTGGTTTCTTGTTATTATGAGATAAAGATTGCGTAATAACGAGTACGCTTCTGTGATTTTCAGTAAATCCCTTAAACATAGCCAGCTTAATTGCATTTCAGGTGCAGGACTTCATGTCCGTGAAGCATACCATCTCTATTGAACTTATCCTAAAGGAATAACGCTATGTTAAGGAGGTGAGCGTTAGCTTTCCGTCTGAACAGCCATAAAGCCTTAAGATGCCTCTGTGAAGTCGACAAGCTCATAAGAATATCATCGTTAGTATTGAAAGACGCTAATATTCCCCAAATGCCTTAAACCAAGACGGAAATAAAACACAATCAATTCAATAACCCTCGTCATCGTTGCCTTTTGATCTTCCTCCCACTTCCCCCTGCCTAAACGAAAAATGCATTAACCCTTTGTTATCTTTCAAGTTTTTATGATGTAATCTTTTCCCTTTCGTCATTTACCCAAATCCCCATATTAATGCAATACGCTTTCATACATTTCTTTATCGGTAAATACTGTACGGGGCTGAATTTCTTTTAAACTCAAAAATCACTGGGTAAATACGTTTCAGAATCATGACAAATGTAGCTGTACACTTTGCTAGTGACTACACACACATCTACATAAAGTCTTTGATCTCGTCTAACAACGGCAACAGGTCAAAATCAACTAATGCTCAAACACCAACATTGAAAGGCAAACTATTTGACCTCACTTTAAAGAACAGTGAAGCACAGCCCAGGCTGACAAAGAGGTTCACAGTAAAGCTTAGCCGGGCATGTTGCTTGTGTGATGCACGGGGCTGCGGGTGGTTTTCAAGGGTTGTTGAAAGTGTAGGACCGCCAAATAAGACTAATGTGTGTCTTTGTAGAGTGATGATTGCCCCCTTCCCCTAATGAGAACCGAGCCAAGTCTGAACATGTAAAGCTCACTCTAACAAGCTGAGTTTTCAGATGTCCTTAAATGACCACTTCACAGGCAATAAACCCTTGGTACATGGCAACATCTCCGTACCCATCTTCATGTCAAATTTTAACCAGTGACCCCCCAAAGAAGTGTTAGGGCTAACCCTAACACTCTCTCGAAGGGTTTGTGTGGCTTGGGCTTTCTTGCATCAAGCACAAAGTTTATGAAGGAAAGGCATACTCTGTGGGCAGAACAAACCACGAGCTGTGGGAGTGTCATCCACCTGGGGGGAGGGGTTACTGCCCTTTGTGATGTCACAAAGGTAGAATCTCCAAACGGCCTAATTGATCACACATTTTCTGAAAAGAGGAGCAGGCAATAGACAGAGAGGATGGACTTTTCTCATTATTGGGGTTTTGTAGACAGTCTAGGGACACATAGTAGTGTTTGAGTAACATAGAAAAGTGTATTTTTCATAATATGTGACTGTTAATCACATTAAATTATCCTTAAACTTCATGTTAAGGGAAATACCGATTTTTTGTTTAAACAGTCTTCTTAAAAATGATCCTTATACAATGAAACATCTTTACTTTTGGGTTGTTATCTCTGGAAATAAGAAAATAAGCCCTCACACAACAAAACGCACGACTTGTATCACTGGTAGCAGCAATTAATAGAACTGACGTGTCTTTCAGAGAATTTTTTCCTTGACAAAGTGAACGCTTAGCACCTAAGCACTTGCCTTAAAAGCCTTAATGCTCTCACACGACTGAGCATTTAATAAATCATGACACCATTTCTACTGAGGGTGCTGGGTAAACTTGTAAGCAATCCAACAGTTCATTATGTGACATAAATGCAATCCTGGCATAAATATCCCAACGCCATTCCTATCACTCACGTCAATTGAACAAAATTGTCGACTTAGGCTGTATTACTCAGGAGAACGAATGCTGGATTAAAGGTGTAAATAGGTCATTAAGAGATGAATTAGGGAATACATTCAATGCTCATTTTGTGCTTGAACTCATGAGAGGAGCTGCTCTTTCTTCTTTGTATTCATCAGACTGCCGTGCTTCTGGGTTGATAACAGCATTGCTGGAAACCCATTACAACAGTGTAAACATTGCCTGCTTAAAATATGCCTTTTGTCATTATTTAATATTGAATGTAATTGCTCTCGACTTAGAAATGTGTATTTTTGGAACATTCTGTCAAGACTGGACGTCAATTTGGGAGCAGAGGGGATTCTTATGTGTGTGTTTCAAGGTGGGACCAGACTGAAAAACCACAGAGGCATTAAGGTTTCCATGCAAAGGCTTGTATTGGCTCTTAGCATTCTTCATTGGAAAGCATGGGTTTGTCTGTCTGTTATCATCGATTTGTGACTTTGCTGTCAAGGTTATGCCTTTTTGTTGTGAAGTTAGACGTAAGCAAAAGTGAATAAATGTCTGTTTTTGGAGCCACAATATAATTGTTGAACTAAAACAAGTGCTGAAGTACATCTAGTTCCTGCAGTGTTCTGAGGCATTTAAATGAGTGCTTATTTGATTAGAAGAGGCTCTCGACAGGTTTTACACAAAGGTCAGTTTACACATAATGAGCAGCAACACTCTAAAGGGAGCCATCTTTGGAAAAATTACCCAGATGATATCATCAGTTATTTCATGTAATGCTTGGGGAACTGTAACTGTCACGCCTTTAGGAGCTGAACATCTGTCTGTTGCTTGGATTTTGTTAACATGTCTCCTACTTGTCACTTAACCCTTGTTTGTTCAAGGACAGCCTGTGATCTAGCATCTATTGTTGAGCATTGAAGCTAGCGAGCTAATGCTCTGTTTTTAAAGTGATAGTGGTGGGAATTCCGGCTCTTTTTAGTGGTCAAGATTGTTTGGTGTTTCCAGCTCCCAAACGGTTTTTCATTTGGTACCATTGGCTTCATTAAATTAGCTAAATTTAGCAATTTGTTGAGCTATGATTGATATACAGTATATGCATTTATTATTCATTATAATTTTTATAAACCACATAATTCCCAGAATAACCCTGTTTTCCATGATGTGTAGCATAAAACATGCCATATCACCGAGCACTTGGTGTGCCTGTTGCAGAGCTGTTTGGAGAAAAGATCATCTCTTTGTTCTATTCTGTAGTACATGTAAACTAAAAGGAAAATGGCTCTCAAGCAAATATTCTCTTGAAGTGTATTGTACTGTGTAAAGAAATCAAGATGAGATTTTGGTTGTTGATGATAAACAACAACCTAATTATGGATGTATAGGACACGATTAGCAAAGATATAAGAGGTACTTTGTCCACAGGGGCACCAAAATCAACCCAAACCAAAAGTTTTTCACAGGCGCTTAAATGGTTATATTGAAGTTTTTTTCAGAAAATGGCAATAGCATTAAATATTAAGAAGTTCCAGCTCTGTTAGCCGAGTTATAACAAGATATTTTGGCATGTAAATCAATAATATTCATGCTCTTTGGACACCTTCAACTAACTTTCCCGGTAGCCTACAGATTACCAACCCTCTTGATGATATCCTCTATTCCATCACTTATACATCTCTCTCTGTATTCTGTCTTTGAATTTGATTAATTCGATCACAATTTCCTCAATCCAATAGGTATTTCTTGGACAGCAAAGAGGACGGCGTTCGGTATTTCAGAATCGATGAAAGCAGTGGACTGATACGGACGACACAGCCTCTGGACAGAGAGGACATGTCTTGGCACAACATCACTGTGATGGCCTCGGAGGTTGGTAGGTACCCAGGTTCCTTCCATAAACTGAATAGTAATGATTAGTAAATGCAATGCACTTGCCTTCTTTGTGTTTGCTCTGTGAGTGTCCATGAGTGAGGCTTTCTTCTCTCTAGTCTTGACTTATTGACATTGTTCATTCCTCCAATTCTGCGATTTCTTCATTTTCATCCTGGAATGGAAAAATAAGTCTGGAAATGTTTCCCAGTTCTACGTCTGCTTAAAAAATATAAAGATATAATTGTGACATCATATACGGTTTTCTCAACATCATCTACATATTGAATAGGAGGCAAATAAGCAGATTTGTTGGCACACATACACGGCCGGTATCAGTCTTTTCACCTTCTGACATATAAATATTTTGATAAGCAAGGTAACATTTCTCCCATTCCAACACCTTCAGGGAGTGTAGTAAACACATGAAATACTATTATGCATTTGTCTGAAAGAGGCACTTAAAAGAGATTGCTCCTTCTCCCCACACTCATATTGTTTAGCCCCGAGCTAATCGGAGGCATTATAAATCGTTATCACAAACGCATTCATATCCTATCGGTGAGCTTGATGCCACAAAAGCATGATTTAAAGAGTGGAAATTCAAAAAATCAGGGTCGGTGCTATAGTTCTAATCCAGAGGGTTTTTTTTTTTTAGATAACAAGACACCTGGAGGGGATCATATAGTCAGAGAGCGGTTCAGGTTCAAATTCATAGCGTGTAAAATTGGAGTGGAAATCAATATCAACAAAAAGATGGTTCCATAAAAAAAAGGAATGACTGCACAGTTTGTGTGCAGTGCACACTCTGATTTTATCCACAGAATAAAATCTGCAGCGAGCCGGTTTTTTTTATTTAGACGTTCACTTCAACGTCTTGATCAAAGACACTTCAGCAGCAGACAGTTCAGAGTGTCGCTGCGGTCGCACATCCACTGCAGCAGAATAACAATTTGTCGGCCTTTAACGAGTAGACCACAATTTTTCACATTTTTTTATTTTAAAGACAGTGACGTAAACGAGGGCTAAGGGGTAAATGGTTTGTTGTCGACAACTGCAAATCCAACCATTTGAATGTTTTTTGTATCTATTTGATGTTCTGCTCTACTTTTTAAATAACAGGCTGATAGTTAAAGGCAGGGTTGGTCATTTTCTCCAGATTCACTTTTTTAAGATTTTGGTTGAAATTGTATTTAGGTGTATTTCCCTCAAAGGGCAACTTCCACCTTCAGCAAAAATCCTTTGATTTGTTTTTTTGTTTATTCAGATCATTTTATCATTAAATTAGTCAATTGAAAGAAATTACCATAAAATCCAAGATGCATTCTGATTTTTTTTTTCTCAGAGGGGAAAAAAGGTTTAAAAGGTCTTTCTGCGTGACAAGTTCCTTTGCATTCTGCGCACTTCACAACATGCAATTTCTGTGCAGATGTGTAGCACTTTTAGACCATCCGTTCTTGCAATGTGGTGTTTGCACTCCTGCTAGATACCTGTATGGTGCATGTCTCAGCATTTTATACTGGTATATTGTTTGCACAGGTTTGTAGGATTTTGGAAATAGGAATTAAATGTGCGTTCACACCAGATGTAACTGTATTTAAAATTTCAATCCCTGATCAGTTGCTAAACATGAGTATTTTGAACCTTTTTCCACTGCTTACAGTCCTTTAACTGCTCAGTCTCATTGAGAAATATCAATTGTCTTTAACAGTATTTAAACACAGACTAATACCTGCTGAGTTAATACTGAAATGAGCAACTGATGTCTGGAGAAAACAAAGCTGAACAAGATCATTTGCATATTGATAAGAATGTATTCAAATAGGTTAGTGTATTTTTCTTATAATTAATTACAAAATCAAATTAGTCCCCAATTGTTTGAACGTCCTTTCCTACATTGAAAATTAATTAAATCAGCGCAGGCCCCCGCTAACTTCAAGAACTGCTATCAGGTAACTCCAGTAATTTGTAATCACAATTAGGCAACTCTCTGGCCAACCAACAGAAGTGCTGAATGCTAATGTTCCTCTATCTCTTCACCTCTTCTTAGTATGCAAGGGCACACTTACGCGCCTAGACAATGTCAAAAAGGCAGAATGATACATTTTGACCACTTTGAATGAGCAAGGACACGGTGTCAGAGACACAAAGCATCCTGCAGAGTCTCTGCCCTTCCGTCTAAAAACCCGCCAGAAGTAGACAGAGCACAGCGAGGGAGTGAAGTAGAGAATGTATGATTACATTTTGTTGTAATTGAATGTCTAAACGCACCCAAACATGTCTTAAAGTACAGTCAATGTGATGTCAGATCTTCTTAACCAGTGGAGATAAAAAACACCATGCATGGAAAACCCAGAGTAAATAAAAACCTGAAGCATTCATTTAATAGAAAGACTGCTGCATCTGCATGACTATTTTATATTCAAGGAAGCGTTTGCTGAGTTAGCATGCTATTTTTCATTGCTGTCCTGCTCCACACTGAAAAACAAACCGAAACCTAGGAGCTACCCAGTGCAACCAGAACCTGAACTGGAGGGAAATAATGGAGATTTTTTTTACCACTAATATATTAGGCTGCTTCTTGTAACAGAAGCTGATGTAAAAATACCATTATTTAACAAAAATCCATCATCGTTTTAGTTATTGCTGTTAAAAAAACAGCCATAAGAATGATAAAGTTTAAGGGGATAAGTGCTGTAATGTATGTTGCATGAATTGCATTTAACATTTGGAGTAGTTTAAATCAGCTTTACATTGCCTCACTATGAAACCGTGTGGATGTTGCTTTTACATACTGCAAAAAATATCAATTTCTAATTGAATTGGGTAGTTATAACATAATTTTAAACCACCAAGATAGAAAACTTGAAGTGCATAAGAACTACAATGACTTCAACTTTCATTTCCCCAAGAGGAAATTTGGTTTTGCAGCCGTGTGAGAACAAGAAGCAGCTGGAAAACACCAGCACACTCAGGCATTAGACACATCATGAAAAACAATAACTACATAGGTGCATCAAGTAACAACAGGTAACCGAGAGATATAAAAATGCCCATTAATCCATCATTAAACCAAAATAAAACCCATCATCAGTCATCAGGGTCATCATCAGAGTTCAGTAGTAAGATGGCCTGGAGTTATAAATATTATATTTGCCTTTGGTAATCTGTTCCTCCAGCCTGAGGGCAGAAGCTCAAGCTCAAACAAACAGAGGATGTCTCGACCCTTAGCTGCAGCTCTACTGCTCATTTAATTGCCTAATGGCAACTGTAATGACTTGTTGCAACCTGTTCTTGTCTCTTATTGAGGGATTACTAAACCAAAAAAGGGGATAAAGCCAAAGAGGTGATAAAGCCAAGAATGTTAATATATATAATTTATTAGTTAGAATGCAACACCAGACATTTTTGCTGAACTAGCATGCTACATGCTTCTTTTATTTTTTTTTTAAAAGGTTTATCTTTGGACTTTTTGCCTTCATCGGATACACAGGACAGTGGGTAGAGTCAGAAATTAGGGAGAGAGCAAGAAAGAGAGACAGTGGGGGAAGACATACAGAGGAAAGGAGCCTCAGGTCGGACTTAAACGTGGGCCGCAGACTCTGTACAAGGGGCACGTGCACACTCACCACTAGCCCACTGGCATCCCAGCATGCTATGTCCACAACAGAAACACAGCTAAGAAAATACCAGTCTTCTTTTGTTGTGGACAGAGTTGGACCACTGGGTGAGGGTTAAATGTCTGCTCAAAGCCAATTAGATAAGATAACTTGAAATGAGGGAAAACCATGGGAAACATTTTCCACTTTAATGGCTTTAAAGGTTTATGTTCTGGGTTTAAAAAGTCTGTAATTGTACACATTTGTACAGTTTGTATAATAGTCTGAATTGTTTTTGCTCAGTGTGTTGTTATTGCATACAGCCCTCATAAGTGCTAAAAAATATATATAAATTGCATTAGTCTAATTTGACTTCTAGGGCCACTTTAGCTCCATTTTGCTGCACTCTTGGCACTTTAACGCTGTATGGATTCAAAATGCATCCACTGCAATACATTATGAAATCTTAATTAGATCGGGTTCATTATAATTTAAGTGTTAAATCATGTATTTAAAGTGAGCTTCATGTATCTCAGCAGCATAGGCTGCCATTTTGTTGCCATTAGGATCTGATATTAAAATGAGAGGATGGAAGCCATATGCTGTGCATGCTTCACCAGTCGCTCATGCAGTGGAGGGGCAAATAAGGCATCACAACCAAGCACACCAACTGGGATGACAAAATGCTGCACCAAGATGATCAGATGTGCTTTATTACTCTAAATTGCCTTCCTGAGCATCACATCCCTCAGTGTTTTTGTTGTAGCACAGACTGAGAAAAGGAGCACAGAGTGTCTCAGTTTAGCCTTACAGTGATGATGCTCTACTTTCTTACTAAGGCTGACTTTGACTTTCATCTTCTGTATCACATGCTTTTTCTTTTCTCTCTCCTCTCTCTCTCTCTCTCTCTCTCTCTCTCTCTCTCTCTGCTACAGACAACCCAGGTCTTTTCAGTCAAGTTCCTGTTACCGTCCATGTGTTTGACATGAACGACAACCCGCCAGAAATAGCCACAGATGAGGAAGTCATTGTGTGTGAGAGCTCAAGGCCGGGTCAGGTGAGTAGTCACCTAGAAAATGTGCAACAGCTATCTCTGTCTTTGCATCTGTTTTTTTCCCCCTCCTCTAATCCATCATCACTGCAGACACACCACATGAGGGAAGAGTGGAAAGTTGTGCATTTACCTCACTTATGTGCCGGCTTCTGCCCTGAACTATTGTTTCCCTCAGCAGTTTTGGGTCGCTTACAGTGAGCTGAGCCGTGTAAGAGACTGGGAAGGCATTGGCTGAAGCTGCCTTATCACCCCCTCATTCAAAAACGAGTATCTTAGCAGCAAACCATGACAGCTCCAAATCGAAGCTCATTCCAGTTTGCTCTCAGTCGTCTTTGATTCATTCGAAATTAAGAGGGTTTTTGAGATATAGAGCAATCAGCGGCACGGAAATGGCTGAAAGGATGGTGGAGTAAAGAATTGGAAGACGCAACTAAATACATTTTTCTTTTTTAATCGTTTCAAGCGAGAAAAGTTTGACTTAAAGTTTGCATTACATTTGAATAACAGTTGCTTTATAGCCTCGGGTTTCTTGGCCCGGGGGATTAAGTGGGGGAGAATAATGATGTGTTAAAATGAGACAGCTTCACATCACCATTCAGAGGATAACACGTGTGATAGAACGAGCTGCACATTAACATTTTACAGTCTGTGTGCATTTTAATTGTTATGCTATGGACGTGGAAGATTTTTCTGATTGGTTAGCTGGTGTCCATTACAACTGAAGGTCAAAGTTGCTGAAGGATTATTAAACTGCAGGTCTTTATTTCGGCTTTTCATCAGTGGAAATGTTATGCCTTAAAATTATAATCACTCCAAAAACAAGTGGATATGTTTGAATTAAACTTCTCTTTCCATTGGTAAGCTGCCTTTGTCACAGAAAAAAGAAATAGCTCTGGTAAAATCAGCTACTTTTTAATTAGATGAATTGTAACCTTGTATTTAAGGCTCTCTTTAGGATTCTGATTTTTCTCAATTGGACTAAATTTGGCTGTTCAAAATGAATCTACAACTATCCATTTCTCTCATGTAAAGCCAGTGAGAAACAGGTTTCATACTGCACCAGCTGTTGTAATGACATTGAAGCATTAAAGCAACAACTACTTACTTTAAATTCAGGTCGCCATTTTTAAAAAATATAAAAAATAAATCATTGAAGCACGGTTTTTAGAAAGCTTGTGAGCTAAAGTAGGCAGCGTCTCAGCTAGCAGCTCGTAACGTTACAAAAGAAAGTTTGACAACGACTTTTGGAGTAAAACTGCTTTATTATGCGATCTTACCTGTTTTAGGTTCCTCTCAGTTAGTTTTAGAGAGGAGAAGTCTTTTTAAATTCCCAATGACAACTGAATTAATGATGGCCTAATGGTATGGATAGATTCTCAAGGAACTAGGTCACATATTTCATGGTCATCAGCAGCTACTGACTGCACCTGTGACATTCTCCCTCAGCTGATGGCTGATGACAATCAGCTGGGCTGGGAGGCTACATAGTGAGGTTGACGTTTCCTTGCTCAGCTGCTTGTGTGTATCCAGAGAGTCAACTCCATCAGTTGGCTTTTTAATGATAATCTTCGTTGTGTGTGTTTTGAAAACACATCTTTCTTTCAGCCCTTTGTAATGCCTACAAAGGGCATTGACTCTCGCTTTTCTTCTGGTTTGGCTCAAATGTTTGTTTGTCTATCATTTTGACAGAATCAGTGGGTTATGTTCTCCTACTCACTTTAAGAAACCCAATGCCCACTCATTTGCTACCCTTTTGTAACAAGTGCACTGTGTTGTTAGTTTCCCAAGTCGCAACCCCTGTCTTTCACAGTTTGTTTTCTTGGGGGGAATGTAACACTGAAGTGAGCGAAGCAACCTAAAAACAAGCTGGCAGCAGCTCAGCTCACAGGCCCTCATGACTTTGTGTAACTGCGTAAGTAGAAAGTTGGTAAACACAGATTTCTTAAATTGAAAATTGGTGTTTTAAACTGGTATTCTGAGACTTTCTTTGCAAAAATGAAAGCCTAACATGCTGTTGCTATTGCATTGCTCCCTGTACACTCCCTGTGAATCGTCAACTTTGAGCTGCAGCCTTACTATGATTTCTAGTGGTATAATGCCTTAGTCATATCCCCTGAATGTTAAAATGTAATAGACCTTAAATACTATTTTGGGTTTGGTTTTCTGATCTCAAGAGTGCGGTGTCAAAAAAAAACATCTTTTAGTGCCAACAGTGGGAGGAGGTCCTGAAAATGATGGTTCAGTGTTTTTGCACCATTGGTAGCCAGAAGGATTCAAGCTCAAAAACCCCTTAGACACGAGCAGGGGCACATCAAACTGTCATTAAAACCAAAAAATGACACAATGGAGAACAACGTTACACCCACTCAGAAATCATCCAAGCAGTGATGTTTCCTCAGGCAGGCATTTTCAAGCTAACAGCCAATTATAACGCTTCCTCTGGTTTACAAAACATCCCATTACCCTGATTTTTTAAGGAGTAATCAAGTGGTAGTTAGCTGGTATTTCACGTTGATGGAAAACAAAATCATTACAATTTTAAGTTAGGAACAATTAACACTGCTCTTCAAAGCGCAAATGCTCCCACCAGTGCCGCCCTGTCATCTGTGACACCCACACAAGTGAACTCAAGCACACGGAAAGTAGACTCTTGATACAGCACAGTTAAAGACAGAGGCTTGTGCAAGTGTACCAAGGTGCACAACAACAACAACCTCAAAATCTCACACTAAAGATAAGGAGTACCCCTAGTGACAGGGGATTTCAGATCGCTTTTCTCTACACTCCGACTTTCTGCCCCCACTCTCGCTGTGTCTTTTACCAATTAAGGGTAACAAGACGACAAAAGTGTCAGTGAGGTTGCCCTCAGAGCGCCCCTGTCATTGTTAGATGCCAGCTTTCCCCCTATCGGCACCGGCCTAATGCTCTGAAATCCTCGAGGTCTGCAAGCAGCTCCTTTTTCGGGCAGCATACACAGGTAGAGGAGAGAAAATGTTAGAGGACTGGTTGGCTGTATAGGTCAAACAAACTCTTGTCTGTCACTAATTATGACCAACAAAATATTGGATCATCAGGATCCAATCATTGGCTCTAGCAATTAAGAGTGAGAAATGATTGCTAACAGTGCAGCAGTTGCATTAATGTAGCAATGCGTTGTCTTTCCTCTGGACAACAGGTGATCCAGACTGTCACGGCGGTGGATAAGGATGACTTTGCCAACGGACAGCGCTTTTCCTTCGCCTTGCCGAGCCAGCTCCCGGTTAATCCCAACTTCACCCTCAAAGACAATGAAGGTAATTACAGTGATCAATATGTTTGTTTGCATTTCTTATGAGTTTTTGCACTGTGCCTCCCGGGGGGGGGGCTGCGCTCCAACCTCATTGCTCACTTTCAAATATCCAATAAGCAGTAGTGATTTCCACATACCTCGGAGCGCCAATAGAAATATTCGCTGTGTCAACTGGGTAGACATCTCGACGTCTAAATTCTTCTGAGTCAGGGCTTCTAGAAAACATAAAGGGGTCAGAGAGGTTTTGGATGTTTGCACATTGTGTTGTCAAATGGATTACCCACTCTGCAGCTCACACCCCCCCACCCTTCCTCCCTTCCTGGATGCATCATTTTGTGCCAACAGTGGGTGTTACCAAGGAAACAATTCCAGTCTCAGGTGACTACCTAGCCTTAGGTTTGGTCTGCAATCACAGGGCTTTTAAAAGCTCTCAGCCAGAAGATCTCACAGTTGCCCGCTGAGAGGAGGAGTTCACACCACTCCAGATGAATCTGTGAGCCGGAGAGAAAAAGAGAGAGAGAGAGAGAGAGAGAGAGATCGGCATGAAAACAGAGAGGAAGGGAGCACCAGAGAGATCAAAGAAATCGATGTGATAATAGGAGATAAATCTGTTTAGCCCTTGGTCCAGTTGCTTCCCACCACAAGCCTTCCCTTTTGCCGTCTTCAACTACATCAAGATGCAGAGGCAAGTTTGGCAGCCTTCATGTAAGTGGCACTTAGAGACATCTCTCAGCCCCCCCTGTCTCCCCCCTCATGCCCACCTCCTCTCCTAAGATGAAGAAGATGAATCAAACAAAGCAAGGATCGGCTGCAATACTTCTAAAGACAGACATCCCCTGACAGACGGTAGCAATATGATTTCTGACAAGTGCCAATGCAGTATTAATAGTTATTTGTGCAGTACTTTGTTTCACTTTCACACATATTAATGCAGTAAAAGGTCTGAAGAAGGAAGCAACTGAATGAAAAAAAGTTCCCATGGTTTGTTAAACTTGTGACAACACCGGTGTCACTGATAACATCAGATATTGAACGTCGCTGCTTCATTGTCTGTAAATGGCTTTATGCTGCATTCACATGTTTTCAGGCAGGCTGCAGACAGCAAACAAGATATCATTTAAGTCGTACAAAGATTACAACTTTCTCCAGTTTTTTTGTCTGCCAAATGTTATGAGTTCTCTCACTCTTGGAAAAAAAACAGCTGAGCAAAAAAAAAATTAAATTCAGCAATCCTTTTCCTGTGCTGTCCAGATAGGGTTTTCCGTCTGTCGTCTAGACTCCTGCTACTCTGAGCCAAAACTCTGCTGCTCATAATGTACTCAGCAGACACTCTCAGTTTATAATTGTAGCATCTGCTGTCTGACTTTATGTTAATACTTGCTTTTAAGGAAAGTAAAGCAACATTTGAGGTGGTGGGCAAGATAGGTGATTGATGTACATCCAAACATGTAACACTAGTAAGCCAGTTTACTGATGCTGATGCTATTGATTAGCAGTTTCTTTATCATTTATTATAAACGCACAGCCCTGTTAAGGACTCCTTAACCAGAAAAACTAGATCAAGGCTTAAAAACCAAGGACACCAGAAAATATACGACACCACTCAAAGATAAGGTTTTAACCCCAAGCATTATTGCTTGTAACTCCCCACCCCAGGAATAATCAAAGATAAATAACGAAACAAATGAAGCAAACGGAAATATAGACTCCGACTCGGGACAAAAGAACAAACGATGGAAAGGCTCCGAGCCAACCTCGCAATGGGCAGTCGCTCTCAACACCTCCCCCTAACACTACCTACTGAAAATGAATCCTAAATAGGGAAAGAAGAACATAAAAAAAGGAGCGCCGAGAGCTCCTCTGCCCCCTGCTTCTCTAAATCACCTGTCCTACCTGAGTGCTAAGGTGTGCATCAGGCAGAAAGAGGAGGGGGAGCAGAGAAAGAGCAGGTCACACATAAGAAGCCCATCCCCTGGTAGGTCCAACCCTTTTTCCAACTTTAGAAACGTAAGACGCCACACTGAGAATTTCTCGACTCTGTATTAAATCCGGAGCCAATGTGGCGCTAACTCTTTGAGGCTTTTTATTTTGGCTTCGCTTTCCGACTGTGACTACGTTGTTTTTTCTGTGAAAATTTGATAAATATATGTGCTTATCTTGTCCCTTTTATTGCTCTGGGATGATGCTGAGAATTCACGGAGGTGTACTTCCACTATTGCCTCCAAAAAAAAAAAACTCTTGCTGATTTACCATATGTTGTGTTAGGGAGTCACAGTGTGGAGCTAATAGGAGCTAACGGTGAAAAAATCACTTGTTAACCAATAACAAGCTGCCCAAATGATGCAGTTTTTTTCCCTACTACTGTTGCTCAATGTTCATCTGTCTGTGTAGTAGGATGTCTGCCAGATAATGTGAGTCACATGATAGTTTTGAGCTGTTAAACATTGAAATTATGTCCTCCATTGCCATGAAAATAGTGGTGCATAAATGCTTTGTGAGGTAGAAAACTTTGTAAAGTGGCTGATAATATTTTGACCAAATTATTACAGACCTTTTGGACCCTGGCAGCGGGTTTTTTGGTCGGGGGTTAAAGCTCTTTAGAAGGTCTTTGAGGATGCATAGGTGTCAGATGAGGACCACAGTAAGAGCAATTCCAAGCCCTCCATGGATTAGTGTCTTTGGAGAGGTCTGATTGGGAAACCAGGTCACCTACCTGGAGCAAGGCGAGTATGTGATGGTTGGGTTAGGCTGGGACTACGTCAAGTGTGCAAATTACACTCTTGAAATACAACATTTTCAATCCATACGGCTGCCCTTTTTAAAAAAAATAAAAAATAAAAAATGTCCCACTGTAGCTAAAAGATTCTCCTTCAAAGAAGTTGTTAGATTTATTACAACTGAGCCGTCTGCAGCAAAAATATTCCCCAAACATTCAGGAAGGAAAATGTTCTCTCTTGAAGGATTGATAACAGTGTTTCTTTAGCTCATGCTGTTTGAGTTATGGTGCCTTTCTGTTTGGCTTTTTTAGCTCGTTCCGCACACCATCCCACAGGATCCTGTTTTTTCTCACACTCAATCTGTGATCTAATCCCACGTGGGCCCGGCTGATTATGTGTCATGACACGGGAGGAACAATTTATTCATGTTTTAATCATTCGACAGAGACGAATTTGAAAGAAAAGGATCGGGAAGTGGTGGGATCCAAACCCCCACTCTGTAAGGGGGTCCTTGTACTTCTACTTACAGCTTCCTTTCTCTTATCAAGAAAGCCGTTGAAGATCGTGTTCTGATTTAGAGCAACAAACCGGATGGTTAGTTGACCACATGAAAGCGAGGCAGCAGCCCAGCAGAGCCTACAACTTGTTCTGTTTGACCACAAAGTAACTCCACTAGAGCAGCTAAATGCCTTGATCAAGGGCACCTCTGTAGACAAGGACTGTGGTTCTTGCCTTCAATAGCCTTCTAATATTTAATTTAGGGGCTGATATACAATAAGAGAGAAATCTTCAAACACTTGATCATTAGTTTAAATCTGATATCAGAATATTGTCATTGAAATGTTTGTAAAATTAACCTTGTGTTTTAAATCTGCTATGTTTTTGTAATTTAACATCCTAATATTTAAAACACAATGCCACAGTGCAGCTTTCAAACTTTTAACACCTAGCTATAGCATGTCTACAATTAAAGTAATTTATGACTGAAGATGTTGAGTGTAAGCAATGGTGGACAGTTACTCAAGTAATAATCTTCCTCGGCAACTTGTACTGGTATTGATTGGAGTCATAATTGACAAGGAGCTTCTATACTTTGGCTCAAGTAAAGTTGTTGTACTCTGTGCACCACTGAGTTTAAGAGAGGGTAGCTTTTAAAGGTCACATATAATACCAAATGCACTTGCCATGGGTTTCTAACACTAATACGTGTCCCTAGTTGTCGACAAATCCCCCAAGTATGAGAAAATTCCACCATCTCCGCGATTTGTCTGCTCCACTTTTCAGAAAATGTGTGTTCAAACAGGCCATTTGGAGATTTTCCCTTCATGACATCCCAAAGGGCAGTAACCCCTCCCCCTGGTGAGTGACACTCCCACAGCAGGTGTTTGTTCTGCCCTCTGAGTCTGCCTATCCACATGAAACACATAGGGCAGGGTGCAGGGAAACCCAAAGTCACATCGACTTCCAAAGAGGGGGTGTGGTCAGACACGGCTCATTTGCATTTAAAGCAACAGACACAGAAACAGCCTGTTCCGAGCAGGGCTGAAATAGAGGGGCTTATAGGTATGCTAAAATTTAGTATGGGAGAATAAATTGAGCAAGAAACTTAATAGACAGGAGTTCTGAGACTTATTTAAACTGGTTGATAAGGAGCTTACTGTGTGATCTTTAAAGTTTAGGGCATGTTGTTGAATACCAGCGGTTCTGGTTGCTGTGCATGCTTGGGAAATCTCACCTACCGTAGCATCTGTGTGCTAACTTCTATGTATGATATGAACAGCAAAGCATTTTCTAACTCACCATTTGGTGACCAATTTAAATGATGAATTCTTTTTATTGATCCATATGGCAGGACTTCTGCTTCCTCCTCTGATTCCGACTCACACGACTCAGACATACTGTTTAGCACTGCTCCAGACTGATCGTCATCTGCTCAACTCCAGACAGAAAAAGCATTTTGACTTGCTTCTTGGAAAGTCAATAAGTTTCATTTCTGCCTCAATTTATGGTGCCTGCCTTGTCAATCTCCCAAATTGCTACAAATTGAAGCCAGATGTTCTGTGGCTGGAAGAACCACCCATCTTTTAAATTACTATCACACATACGCAGCTGTATTCAGAAGTACCGTAGAACTTTGTTTAATTGCCCAGGCTTTTATTTGCTTAAATTTATGAAATTGCCTTACTCTAACTGGACAACTGTCGATACAAGAAAGGCCTTTAATTGTTTTCATGAAAAACTAGTGCACAGCAAAGATGGGTAAGAAGAAAAACCAAAATTGCAAAAG